CCAGCTTTTTACATTTATTTTAAAAAAAAATATTCCCATCACCCACCATACTTTTTGTTTTCCCCAGACTGCCTCCTTGCTTCCTTGCTCTTATCCTGGAATTGAACACAGTAACGGTCATTTGCCCTCAGCCTGTGTTACTGTAACTTTTATCTTTTTTTTTTTTTTTGGAACTGGGGATTGAACTCAGATCCTTGTGCTTGCCAGGGAAGCACTTATTACACTGAGCCATCTCCCCAGCCCCTGTTATTGTAACTTTGACCATCGTCCTTTCCATTCTTTAGTTTCGAGGGACTTAATATTATTTGTCTGTCCCGGGGCCGGGAGATGGCTCAGTGGAATAAGTGCTTCCCTGGCAAGCACAAGGACCTGAGTTCAATGCCCAGTTCCACAAAAAAAAAAAAAAGAAAGAAAGAAAAGAAAAAAATTATTTGTCTGTTCCACCACCTTCTAACTACTCAGTAGTGGGAGTTAAAAAAAAAGAAAAAGGGGGCTAGCAAGATAGCTCAGTTGTCTAAGTACTTGTATAGGCAAGCGCTAGGACCTGGGTTCAATCCTCAGTACCACATGCCTTGTCAGCCCCGGAACCCCTGGCACGCTGAGCTGGCCGCCAGGACCAGGCATGGTGGTGCATGCCTGTAATCCCAGTGCCGGGGAGGCTGAGACAGGAAGATCACACTGTAGTGAGATTCCTGTACCAAATACAGAAACGAAGGAAGGAAGGAAGGAAGGAAGGAAGGAAGGAAGGAAGGAAGAAAGAAAGAAAGAAAGAAAGAGAAAGAAAGAAAGAAGAGAAGAGAAAGAAAGAAAGAAGAGAAGAGAAGAAAAGAAAGAAAGAAGAAAAGAAAAGAAAAAAAAAAGAGGCTGGGAGTGGGGGAGACTAGCCATACCCAATCATCAGAGGTGGAAAGGCACACCCTACAGCCCTCACTGGTGTTTCAGTGCCAGCAGCTCAAAGCTTTCTGCTCCACTGAGCAGGGAGGAGGATCATTCCTTGCCTCCTTGAGGCAGTAATCAGTGCGCTGCCCTCATCCTGGCTTTGTGCTCAGCACACGGGGGAAACAGTGTCCAAGAAGTCTTGCTCTGCCCTCAAACACTCTGTCATTGCCAAGGGTGTTCTGGGTCCCCAGGCCAACTCTGGCCTAGAGATTCCAAGGAAACAGTGACACAGGAGCTGCACCTTGAAGGAGTAGCAGATATTAATCAAGGACTCATTGAACTGAAGGCAAAACCGACCTGCCCGGCAGAGAGGCCAGCTCGTGCAGACAGGGCAGTGCTGGTGGGCCGCGAGGTCAGAGTCCCCAGGGCAGGGGGCCCAAGGCTGGTCTGCGTAGAACATAAAGCAGACTGAAGGGGACAGGATGCCCCAGCCCAGGGGTCCGAAGCAAGTTGTGGCAAAGCCTCGGCTTCATTCAACTTGGGGCTGGGGAGATGATGGGCTCAGGCCTGGGGCCAGAGGCCAGTGGCCAGGTCCTGATGGGCTCTCTGGGGACAGTTCCGTCGGACAGCACTGCACCGAGCTTCCTTGGAGGGCCACATGGAGATCCTGGAGAAGCTTCTGGGGAGTGGGGCTTCTGTGGACTTCCAGGATCGGGTGAGCAAGAGCACCAGAGTCAAGTGGGCAGGGGTAAAGTGGGCCCGGTACCATTAGACTCCTGTGGGCAGGGGTGAAGTGGGCCCGGTACCATTAGACTCCCGCTCCTTCCCAACCTGGGGTGGAATAGACTTCTCAGGGCTGGGCCCCACTTCTGGTGGGCTGTGTGACAATGGGCAAGCTCCGTCTCCTTCCTGAGCCTCCTTTGTCGCTGGCATGGACCACTGGTGAGTCCCTGCACGTTCCCTTCTGTTGCCCAGGTGCAGGAGTGTGTGTACCCATTCCCCTAGTACCTTTCCCCTGTGTCTCGCTCCTTTTGGCTAAAGTCCTTGTTTCTGGGCACTTGTTTCCTTACAACTCTAAGTTAGACCCTGTGTTTGCTTCCAGCTGGACTGCACAGCCATGCACTGGGCCTGTCGTGGAGGCCACCTAGAAGTGGTAAAACTCCTGCAGAGTCAAGGCGCAGATACCAATGTGAGAGACAAGGTAGGCAACAGTGCTCAGATGCAGTAGGTACTGGGGTCACCACAGGGAGAAGGGAAGGGGGCAAAGGGCAAGCTGGCTACAGTGGTAGAAGACAGCAAGCTGTTTGGGTTTATAGAAGGTTTGCGGAGCAACCCCCGAGTGCACGTGGAAGGCCCTGGTCCAGTCCTCAGCACCACAAAATAATAAGTACAGAAATAAATGAAGAGTGAAGTATTGCTTTCAGCAGGGTGAGAGGAGAATGAGAAGGCTGCCAGAGGGGGTGGCGTGTGAGACTTGGAGTTAGACCACTGGGTAGGGTGGTGGAAAGTTGTGCCACAGCGAACCCCTCCAGGGCTCAGGCCTTGGAACAGGGTTTAGGGGAGAGATTAAGGTGGAGTCAGGCCAGGAGTGGTAGAATACACAGTGAAGCCCTGTCTCAATTAAATAAATAAGCAAACGAGCAAGCTGGGCATGGTGCCACACACCTGCAATCCTAGCACTGGCGAGGCTGAGGCAGGAGGATTGCTTAGAGTTCGAGGCCAGCCTGGGCTCCACGGTGAGGTCAGCCTGGAGAACATAGCAAGGCCCTGCCTCAAAAAGCCAGAAACAAGCCCCCAAAAAGATAGAATTAGAACAGGCCCCCATCCCAGAGGTACCACGGCCCAGGACGCTCAGTCAGCCATTCCTGCCTGCGCCCACAGCTGCTGAGCACCCCTCTGCATGTGGCGGTCCGCACGGGACGTGTGGAGATCGTGGAACACTTTCTAGCCCTGGGCTTGGATATCAACGCCAGAGACAGAGTGAGTGCTTCCCCCGCTCCCTGGCCGGCCGGCCACGTCATGGCTGCGTGAGCAGATGGCCGGCTCCCACAGGCAAGTGGGCCTTTCCATAGGACTCTTGGAGCAGGGTCTCTAGCCTACTTCCTGTCACCCTGCTCCCTACCTACTGCCCCCAGGGGCGATGTTGAGTGGTCCCCTGGCTCTAGGAAGGAGACACTGCTTTGCACGACGCGGTGAGGCTCAACCGCTACAAAATCATCAAACTGCTGCTGCTTCACGGGGCTGACATGATGGCCAAGAACCTGGTGAGTCTGCATGTCATTGTCTCTGCCCATCAGTGTAGCACACCAGTTGTCCTCTCCCAGTAATACCGTTGCTACCACCCGCTTCCCCAGTGTGTGTGTGTGTGTGTGTGTTGTGTACAAGCTCAGAGAAACGGAAATGCAGCGCTTTCCCAAGGCACCAAATGGCCCGGGACCCTAACACGCAGGCCCAAGGCTGCCTGAGATAGGGGAGGGGCAGAATCGGGAAGTGCCTGAGCACTTAGCTTGAGTACTTGGTTTGCATAACTATTCCTATTCCAGTGGTCCTTGAGGTTTCTGAGGATTGATGTTCCCTAGTTCAGGTTTTTCAGCGGGGCTCAGGGCAATCACAAAAGAAAGGGGTGTGGGATGCCTCAAGGGAATAGTGGGGAAAGCAGAAAGCTTTGGAGAGCGTATTTGTCAATCTCAGCACTGTTCGTATTTAGAGGTGGATA